GTGCCAATCATCCTTACTTGCAGATGAGAGCTAAGCTGAATTGCGAACGACGTCGAAGCTCAACCTGATCCGGTCGGAGCCTTAAATTAATAAGACATCTGTTGCAGCCATCTTATGTTTCATATGTGACTACGGAGCACAGCTACGGTGGAAGGGTATGTTAGGGGTCTAAATTCAACCAATCATGTCCGCATTTTCTGTGGGAGAGTACCCAGAGAAAACCCACGACTTTCATGATCAGTGGAATATTGGCTAACGTCAATAAATATTTGATATTTGGATGATTTTCATAGCCTTTAATTTATAATTTGCATTTTGTATGATTGTCGTAAAGCAATCCAAGATAGATAATTAGAAATCTGCTAGATTTTAGCCGATCACGTGGCCAGCGTCAGAGTCTTTTCTCCCCAAGAGAAAAGACCCTGGGTACCAGGTTGACTTATCGTAAGGGTATATCCGAATTTTGTATTGAGGGAAAGGTATAGTCTCATCTATAGTTATGTTCAAAATGAGCTACTCATTTTAGCTAAATGAGTTCCAGGTTAACTCGAAAGTCATCAAAGGATTCCAATCATATAGCTCAGTTAGAGTAACTACGAATTGGTGGTGTTTGTTTTTACAACTCATGACAACTCTATAGAAAATCTATTTTCTAATTTTGGGAGACGATCATAATATGAAATACCAATATAATATCCACGCATTCGCAGGAATAATAAATGGCGTGACGCAGCCCGGATCCTGGGACTGGCTCGAATTCGGAATGATGAATAATATATTGAGACGCTAATTGTACATTAATTAATTGTTAATTGTATATGAACTTTAATATGATGGAAACTCCAGCCATGCAGTATATAAACCCTATTTACGACGTAAAATATGTACTATACTAGGCATTCAGTTCATAACAGTATGACTACTGTTATGAACTGAAACGTGTTGCTCTATATTATATTCTCTGTTTATTAGAATCAAGTGAAAGAGTGGTGCATGAAAAACGTGAATGTTTCCACCCACCAAATGTAATGTATTATTTTAATTTAATTACTTTTAACACATTAATTTAATTTTAATTTTAATTAATTTATTTTAATTTAATTACTTTAATTAAACAATTCTTAATCTAGAAATCATAATACATAAATGATAAAATTCTTAATCCTCTATGAAGAAATGCATTCGTATATGGTTTGTGCAGGGATTACCACTCTAAAAATAGGTGTGTAGATATTACCTACCCACCTTTCTTTTCGCCAAATTAATTTTTAACACACCTTAAGGTGTGTTTGGGTGTGTATTTTTAACACCTTTTAGGAGAAAAGGTGTGTAATTTTACACGTTATTTTTGTAATTTTTGCTTGTCGCCAAATTCACACACCGCATGTTTTTTTAAAAATGTTTTTAATTTTAACAGCCCAAGATGTGTAAGTTGCCGGGTCGCTAAGATACGCACCTTTTAGCGTGCTTTTTGGCACACCTTAAAAAATGTCTAAAGTTACACATCGTTTGTTTGCTACACACCTTGCAAATACATACCACAACTATAAGGCATGCAATTATAATAAATAGTAGATCACAAATTTAAATTATTTATTAGAGCCTCAAAACAAAACTTACAGTTACGTACTCCCACAAGCAAATACGCTATTTACAACGTCCAACGAACCAAACTAATTATAATGAATTTGTTTACTTGAGTCAAACACGCTCTATATTCACAACTCTGCTTGACATGATCCACATAAGTCATAACACAAAGTCGTTGTAAAACTAAAAACCTTTCACAATAGAGTGAATAGAAACCGCGAAAACATAATAGCATAGCATGCAATGAAATACGCTGAGCATCCGACAGTTCATTAGGTGAATACTTCTCTGCCAACAAAAGCTTTGTTTGACATCATCGTTCATTTCTGTTAACATCAACTTGAATTCTACGGTCTGGAACCAAAACGTTTTTCTCCTTTGTGTTGATGGCTATAAATGTTAAAACAAAATTTGAAATATAAAACCAATATTGTCATCAGGATTTTGGGCATCTCACTCGATAGAAATAATTAGTGTTGAAGGTTTTTTGTAGATGGCAATTTCGAGTGTAAGTTTTTATCATTTACTAGACCTATAGACCAGGAGCAATAGCAAACTACAGGCCCTCTGGCAGGAATCGAAACTACAACAATGAAAGACAATAAATCTATATATACAGTAGAAATCGTCTTTCTAAAGAACGAGTCACGAACAATGATCGTTTTTGTTTGTGAAAGCCAGTCACAAAACATGAGCATTTTAGGCAGGTCTTTACCCCAATACAGCATCAACATCAATACATTTGAGGTTGACCCCCCGTCAGATTCACTGCATAATGCTGTAGTGAAACCACCCAAGAGAAATTGCACTTTTTGCAACTGCTCCTGGATAAACATATAAAATTTATACTCAGAATTTCCATGTACGAAAAAAGTTCAACAATTAGTTCAATCAAGTAAGATGTCCAATATATATCCTGATATTTACACATATTACACTGGTATCACCTTAGAATAAATACATGAATTTGGAGTTTCTGTATCTTAGTCTTTTAGAGCGCTGCACTGAAATCACATTTGCAGGGCGACACATTTGATTCCAGAGGGCCTATAGTTGCCTTTTTTTGCAACTCATGTTTAATCCAATAAATTTGTAAAATTTACAATCAAAATTTCCATGTACAAAAGACCTTCAATAATCTATTAATAAACTGCTTGGTACAAGTACATTCAATTTAAGTAAGTGGGAGTGTGCCAATCATCCTTACTTGCAGATGAGAGCTAAGCTGAATTGCGAACGACGTCGAAGCTCAACCTGATCCGGTCGGAGCCTTAAATTAATAAGACATTTGTTGCAGCCATCTTATGTTTCATATGTGACTACGGAGCACAGCTACGGTGGAAGGGTATGTTAGGGGTCTAAATTCAACCAATCATGTCCGCATTTTCTGTGGGAGAGTACCCAGAGAAAACCCACGACTTTCATGATCAGTGGAATATTGGCTTACTCTTTTCACAGAAGTGTCATTAGTCCAATGTGAGTATAGAACCCACAATCTAAAAGGTGAAAGGGGCTTGCTCTGACGATTGCCCGACCAAAACGCCCATGCAAGCGGTGAACTTAATACAGAGGGGATTATTGATTTGGCCAGGGGAGCGGGGTTAATTATTACTTCGGCGGGCTATTCTTGGGTTTCATTACAGCACTATGCAGTGAATTCGAATTTGGCGGGGGGTCAACCTCAAATGCATTGATGCTTATGCTGTACTGGAGTGAGAAAATTCTACGAAATTCCATGTATTTGCCACCAATCATAAATAAGACTAATACATAAAACGAACAATTGACTCACTCTGATAACTGTGTTTTGTTTTAGAGTTGACCCCCGTCACTTTTGTGACGTCATATGATATGAAAGCCAAAAATACGTACTACGTAAACGAAATATAGGTTTCCCCGGCTTTCTGTGGTTCTTGTGTTATTATTTTTTTCCTCCAGTAATGGACTCTACTCCCAGAATTCTCTGCGTCACGACGTGAAAAGGAATGGCGACTCGATGTGTGCGAACGTCCACGATAATCTGGCGAACAAAACCAAAAAGTAGGTCGCACGTGTATTATGCAACGATCCAGTTCGGCAACAATCCATGAATTCCATGTCTGTCAGGTGTGATTACGAGATGCTTGAGCAGGCCACTTGTTCTGCAACCGAATATTATATTTGCACTTATGAAGATGTGAATTCCAACATAGAACACTTTGAAATGTATTATGTGGTTTAAGATTAACTGTGTTCAAACACGGCCATTCGACAATTTAAAAAATAGAGGAAACAGATTCTGTGAAAAATAGAAGTCATCTTGAAATTCAATATTTGAATTAAAGTAAGGTGCGTTTTGAGATTGTAATTTTCCCATTTTGTTCCAACCTCATCATCAGACATGATTTTAACTCATGTGGACGTTAAATAAAGTCATTAATACAGTTTATTATAATGGCAAACATCACTTTCGGTGAAATGGCGGACTGTGATTGGCTGAGAAGTACTTTCAGTGGTCCATTATTTTCCCGTAATGGACTGGCGATACATTACGTAAAAACAAACGCATGCATTTTAAACCAAAACAGCAAAACTAATTGAAAATTATAATTTAATTTGTTATTAATAAGATTTCTGCAAATGATTCTTAGTGGAAAAGAAGGAATACATTGGTATTTTTTTTGTTTTCTTCGTCCAAATGTGTACCACGCTACCAATATATGCATTTTAAATCATTCATTTCTTGTTTGCTTCAAGCATAAATGCCTATAAATGCCCATTAATTAATGCCATGTAATAAACCTTTTTTATTAACCTCGCTTGCTTGGTATGTACAGAGGAATATCGGACCTCTTGCTGTCTTTTTGTACAAAATATTTCTCTGTACAGACCTCGTGAGAAGTTAATCAAAGTTCGTTTTCTTCTAATTCATAAATCAAATTACAAGATCACAAAAAGTAAATCATTTCATTTTAAATAAACTATCTTATAATATAAAATATAATAATCATATTACTTTTGGAATTGGTGTATTAGCGTAAATAAATTTTTTGTCTTATTTTAGAATTATTTTGTATTACATTGTGTACTGTATAATATTTTATTTGTCAAAAAAATACATACCTTTTTAAATATTTTTAATATTTTGAAAGTTCTAAATTACTGTTTATTAAGGTGGGTGCCTTGGCTCCCACAGAATGTATATAATGTGTATTGATCATGCTTCATATTATAGTTCAATGTTTAGTAAATGCTCAATCAATAAGAAACAAAACAGCTGAAATATGAAAACAAATTCGATCTCGTAGCTATTACTGAAACCTGGTTACGTGACATTGATGATGCGATTAGAGTTGAGCTCTGCCCTGACGTTTACAAGTTCGTAGACTTCCCTCGTGTTAGGTGTGGCGGTGGAGGCATTGGACATATAAGAACAATCTTAGAGTTACCACAATTAGGTCTGGTGAAGAAGATTCTTTCGAATACTCAGAGTTACTAGTAGAAGTATCGAGTTCTCGTAAGTTAAGAGTCGTCATTGTCTATAGACCGCCATATTCAGAACATCATAAGATCTCCATTGGTACTTTCATTAGACAGTTCTCTAACTATATGGAATCCGTTATTTTATCAAAGGAACACCTGCTCGTTTTAGGGGACTTCAACATACACTTAGACGTTTCTGATGATGCTGATACTGTAAAATTTCATGATCTGTTGGAATCCCTTGGGCTTGAGCAACATGTCACAAAGTCGACTCACATACATGGTCATATCCTTCCACGCAGCAGTAGTTATTTCTCTCATACATCAGTTCACTTTGACATTGCCATAAAAAAACCCACCATTACAGACTAAATCAATCAGCTATAGAAAGATCAAGGCTGTTGACATTGACTGCTTCAAACATGAATTGGCAAGCAGTGTCCTATGCTATAATTAACCAAGAGAGCACTCTGTCCCTGAAGATCTTGATAGGCTTGTGAGCATCTACAACACCACCCTCACAAGTATGATAGATAAGCACGCACCACTGACAACCAAAACTGTGAAAGCTAGATCTCAGGTCCCTTGGTATAATCATGACATTGCAGCAGCGAAGAGAAAACGGCGCAAGGCAGAACGGATTTGGAGAAAAAGCAAAGCAGAAGATGACTTACTCTTGCCCAAAAGGCTGAAAAATCATGTTACGTACATCAGCAATAAGGCGCGCAGAGAGTTCTACGCACAGTTTATCAACGAAAATGGAAATGACCAAGATAGAC